GCGACTGGGAGGTTTCCACATACAATGGTCGCGGAAGGTCTCTGAGCTCTGAGCAGCTGGCATATGAACAGAGACCTGGGAGATGGGATGGAGCCAGCACGTGAAGATGTGGCAGAGGCAGAGGCAGAGGCAGAGGCAGAGGCAGGGGCAGGGAAGTGGGAATGAGCTGAACCTGTTCCCGGAACCAGAGGTGGGCTCTGTGGCCAGAGCAGAATGAAGTGGGGAAGAGCTGTGGAAAATGAGGCGGGAGGAGGAGCGAGGACCAGAGCAGGGAGCACTTTGCCAGTCACCGGAAGGAGTTTGGATTTTTTTCTGAGTGCAAAGGGAAGCCGTTTGAGGGTTTCAAGCAGAGAAGTGACGTGAGCTGATGAACCGAAGGGAAGAAAAGGTACAAACCCTGCTTCTTCTGTGGGTAAAGTGAGATAGGAGGGAAGTCTCCCTTCTGCTCGTTCGTCTTCCACAAACCACTTCAAACCGTGGTTGACATCCGCTCCGAGATTTGCTATACAATATTGCTTGCAACTAGATTTTTCTCCCACTCAATGTGAGCCAGCGCTGAGGGGCAGGATGTGGTTTCGTCATGGGTGACCACCATCCCTTCCTCCGGTAGCCAGAACCATTCTTATACTGCACAACTAGTCACTGGAAAGGATGCCAGATACCCAGACTGCCCACACGGTGATGACACCATGGAACTCAGGAAGAGCCAAGAACCTTATTCCTCGTCCCCCTTCACCCTCCTGCCTCTCCTTAAACACAACCACAAATTACTGGCACCTCGGCTAAATTTTGCCCAGCAGAAAACAAACAGCCATTTCCAGACAAGACATTTTCCCCTGCTTGCTTTTTCTCGTGGCTAGGGCCAAAGAATCCAATTGGCTAAGCCATTTTGGTAAATAAATTGCTAAGTACAATTCTACTTTCCTAGGCTTACAGCTCTCTTGACACAGAAATAATATAAATAAATTCTGTTCTCTTGACCACAAGTTTCACACAATACTACCTATTGGTTCTGGGCCTGTAGCATTATGCTCATATGGCAAGTAGACCTAAAGCAATTGCCTCATCCTAAACATGTTATTAACTTTCTATGTATTATTTCTCCCTTAATGTTAAGAGCTGATTCCCTGTCACAATATATTAATATAAAATTTCTAGACTCTGTTTCCCAGAACATAACACATGGTATTGCTACTATTTTGAGAGCAAAGTTTGGCCCTATGTGCACATTTGATTGATCTTAACAAACCGAAGTCCTGAAGCTATTAAAATATATATTCTCTGTTAGATGTATCTGGGCTCAAGTCCTGGCCACTTACTAATGCTGGTATGTCTTAGGTGAGTTAACTTCTGTGAGCTGCAGCAGCCTCTTTTATCAAATGGAGAATCCACCCCGTTGGGTTGTCATTGAAGATTAAACAAGATCACACATGTAAAGTGCTTAGCACAGTTACTGGCATGTAATAAACACCCGTTATTATTAGCAAAATAAGACTTCATGGTAGATACAACTATATAAGTCATAAAATGTATCGACACTAACTTATCAACAGATAGGGAGCTGTTAAATATATTACAAGCACAATAAAAATGACAGGAATATTAAAATTCGAAAGCATTTAAGTATATGGTTGATAATACATAAAATTGAAATACAGGGATTCTAAAAGTCTTAATACCAGTCGTATTTTACCTTACTAATTCACTATACCCTCCCTGGCAATAATTTTACCTAGTAATATTCTCTGTATTATGATAAAATAGAATAATAATTTGTTGAGCATATTCTTGGTACCGGGCACTGGTTTATGACTGCTTTATGAATATATTTAATCTTCACAGCAACGCCGAAAATAGATACTACTATTATGTATATTTTACAGATAGGGAAACTGAGACAGGCAGTTTGACTCTGTAGCCCTCACTCTTGAACTCTATGATATATACATCAGAAGTTGGCAAACTATGCCCCCTTACCTGTTTCCGTAATTAAAATTTTATCGGAACACAGCCACCTATGCATTTACCTACTGTCTACAGCTGTTTTTACACTATGACTGCTGAATGGAGTAGCTGCAACATAGGCCATTTGGCCCAGAAAGACTAAAATATTTACTATCTGGCCCTTTACAGAGAGAAAGGTTGCTAACCCTCAATATCAACTTTAAACTTCACTTAAAGATTGGAGTTTGGAAGGGGAAGAAATAACGTCTTATAATAATAATAATGCCTTGTGTTTGTTTTTTACCATGAGCTTTTACATATTTATCTCATTTATTCTCATAACAACCCTGTGATGTAAGTAGTCTTTTTAAAAGTGAAGAAACTGGGGTTCTAAGAAGTTCAATGACTTACACCATAAACTAGACAGTAAACTCCATGAGTCGGGATCATGTGTCTTTGTCTTCATAGCCACATCACCTACTAGGCCAAAACGGCCACTCAAAAAAAAAAAAAAATACTTGCAAAATGAATGACCAATGTAAAGGTCACCCAGCTACAGAATCTAAATCTTTTCCAATTCCAGGTTCTTTCTCTTGATCCCACAGCTGCCTGCAGGTGAAAAGAGGAACCCTCCCTTGAGGTTAGGATTAAACATGGGGTAGTTAACACGTCATTCTATTCTGCCGCCAATTGACAAGTTTTTGCTGTTGTATTCCTCCTCCTCCTTAGTCAGAGATCATCTCTTTTCCTTCAAATGCATAGTCATGACTCTGAGAGTGTTCTTGTCCTTGTGATTGGTGCATTTTTAGACAGGATTAAAACTGACACCCTCATGAGGCGGTAGTCACATGGAATCTGGGTCTTGGATGGATTTCAGGCTGAGCTCTGCCCGCCCTCCTCCCACCCCCTTGACCTACCTCCCGCCCCCACGATGAGTCACAGCGCACAGCCTACTGCCCTTCCAAGAGCGACTCAAGGCTTTGTTTTCTTTCATCTTGCTTTGCGCTGGTCATGTGAGGCTCAGGGTATTAATAGACCATCGGCTTGGCCTTCTGAATCTTGTTGTTGGTCAGGGAGATAAATGAAAGGTTTGGCCAGTCCCTTTGTGCCATTATTCACTCCTCTTTTGACTGTCACGTGCTGGCTGGTGACAGCTGAACCAGACAGGCAGAGGGCATCCAGTGTGGTCACCACCCATGGACAGGGCCTCTACTGATGTTCTGAATTAATGCCTTTCTTGGTGGCTACTTGGTCAGCTCCTGACTTACAACCTTGAATCACAAGTACTAATCTTAACAAACCAGCCTCAAGCCTTTTCTCGACGCCTCCTCCCAGTCAGATGAACATGACAGCATCTCTGCCTGCATGTATGAGAGATTCATAAGCCAGGCTGGAAAAGGTTTTGGGTTTTTTTGTTTGTTTGTTTGTTTTTAACTTAAAGTAAAATTATGCTCAGGAAATTAAAAGTCTGTACATGGTCTGACAGGCTCCCTAGGGGCTCCATGGGGACAAAATTTTTAAACAAATGTCTTGGAAGCAGAGGTTCTTTGAATTGCTTGGGGGCTTGGATCCAAAGATTTCAGTTCTCCTGTGCAGCCCAGTGTTTAGAGTGTCACTTTGCTAGTTCCTTCGGCCTTGATGCCAGCACCCAGCACAGTGTCATGCTCAGTGTTTATCGACCTGAAGAAAAGTCAAGCTGGGGCCTGGCCAGGAGATGAAACGCCCTTGGGAAGTTTCCTAGGATCAGAGATTCGAGCTCTAAAATAAAGCAGGGGGCCGGCTTCTCGAAGTCTAGTTTTCTTTTTAAGTCTAACGCTAGTTAGTTTTACTTGGGGGCCTGGCGGGTTCTGGTAAAATTAATTCTTTTCATTTTACATCAGTTCTTTTGTTTGATAACGCCACGAAAATATGAGGTGTGTTGAGGACTCTGCTGAGCCTCTCACTGCTGATGGAGTAGTTCGTAAGGTTTAGTCTCTCAAGCCTCACTTTGCTCATCTGTTAAACAGGTTGAACCGTATGATCTCTGAGACCCCTTTCCAGTCTAAAGTTTCATTTGTCAATAAGAATCTTTGAATTTTTAAAAACCTTGCCATATCTGTAAAGAATTTTGCTATGGAAAGGAAGAAAGATTGGGCTAAGGATGCACCAACTTAAATTATTATTTTTATTTGTTCTCGTTTGGCAATAATGGGGGTGGCGGGAATGGGACATACTTCTTCAATGAACAAACCCACCTTTACTTTCTACCTAATTTATGCCATCCACTGTGCTAAGGGCTGTATGTGAGTGCCCTCATTTAAAGCTCTAATTTTTAGTAGTACAGATGAAGAAACTGAGGCACCAAATAATTCAGGAATTTACCCATAGTTGCAGAGCTAATAAGTGGTCAAACCATGACTTGAACCTAAACCTAGAGCTGCAAAGGTCTTAACCTCTAAGTAGAAATTTGTCTATATACTATACATCCACGAATTTCTCTCTTTTCCAGTCATTGGCCTCTTTCTACAGAAGGTGCAGTGAAAGAGTCTAATTGATAGACATTTTTATGAAACGCTGCATAAGCAGGAGAGAGATCTGAATAAGAATTGACACCTCCTTGGAAAGTGCACATTGATACTGAACACGAGCTTTTAGGTGCCTTGAGAACTGTCAGTGCCAGTGGGAAAGAAGTTCAAGTGCAGGTAGAGGAATTACCATCGGGAATGTTTGTATGGGACTCAGACATTCGCAGGGCATAGGAGGTTTTGTTCCCTTAGGAGTACGTCAGCCTCCCTCGCTGAAGTAGGACAAGTAGAATGAATTAGCCCCAGCTGAAGCCAAACTCTTTATTTTGAAAAGAAAAAAAGCAATTAAATATTCATCCTGATTCCTGGGTTTTGAATTACCCCCATTTGTCTTTCACTTTGAGCATCTGCTTTTTATTGCATCGTGTCCCTGCCTGCCATTTATCTCTCCCCGTCAGTCTGTATCTACGTGTCATGTGACTCAAAAGTGGAGATTAGAGGAGAAAAATATCTCTGTATTCTAAGCCTGGCAACTTCTATTTTTATCCACAGCTGTTGGAACTGATAGCAAAGTCACAGCTCACATCCCTGAGTGGCATTGCCCAAAAGAACTTCATGAACATTTTGGAAAAAGTGGTTCTGAAAGGTGAGCTCTCTCTCGCTCTCACCCCTTTTTATAGCATGGGGACGGGAAGATGGATTTTCCAATAGAGTGGACATGTCGTTAGAATTAAGGGACTGTGAGCGGATAGAAAGGAATAACTCCAGATGCATTTCAGAAGGGCCAGATTCCAGTTCAGAGAGAGGTACAGCTCATGCCTGTGACAAAGAGTGGGACCATCAACCTCCCTTCCTTTTATTGGCATCATCCATTTGCCCTGCTGTGAGCCTCTCAGGCTTCTCAGTGTAAACACATGTCCCGACCTTGACGACCAAGCCTCTGGATTCCAAATTCCTAGAAAATTGAGCTGTGTGAACAGGGCAGAATAGATTCATAGACTATCTGAGTGAGGAGGAACCTTAGATCTCTGGCTCAACTGACTCATTGTGCACATGGGGAAACTGAGGCCCGTGAGGAAGAATGATTTGTTCATAATCGTACAAAGAGTCACCCATGCAGGATTAGAACCCAAGCTCCTGACCCTCACCCCGTGCACCTACCGCTGACCACCTAGAAGGGACATAGCGCCGCAGGGCAAAAGAAACTGCTTTCAGGTCGGGTGAGTGATGGGTGCTGGTGTAACAATGGAAGAGAATGAGCCTCTGTAGAAAACCAGGGAGAAAAGAACAAAGAGGGACCTAGATAATTGAAACTCTACCCAGTGACCTCGAGGGTAGAAGCTTAGCCAAGTGGAGAAGAAACACACCAGCAAGAAAGAAAACCCTGTGCCTAGAGGCAGTGCCCAGGTAACACGAGCAGAAGCGAGAAAAACAAAGGCCCACTTATAAAATATAGAGTTCAGTAGCATAAGCGGTATTTCTTTTTTCTTTCCCCACTCAAGTCCTTGAAGACCAGCAAAACATTAGACTAATAAGGGAGCTACTCCAGACCCTCTACACGTCCTTATGTACCTTGGTCCAAAGAGTCGGCAAGTGTGTGCTCGTCGGGAACATTAACATGTGGGTGTACCGAATGGAGACGATTCTACACTGGCAGCAGCAGCTAAACAACATCCAGATTACCAGGGTAAGCAGAAGCCCGGCCTCCTCCCAGCAGGAAAGACTTCAGTCCACTCCTCCACTGAGATGCCGGGCGGCCTTGCCAGGTCCTTGTCTCTGGTGATGGGAGAGCCTGGGCCGTTCCGTTCTGACGCTTTGGACAGGGTGCTGGAGAAGGGCCGGGGGGCTGCCTGACCAAGGGAGGGTAGGTAGGAAGGAGAACTTGGCAAAACAGGATCAAAGCATGTGAAAGATGGCAGCCGACTGAACATGATGGGAAAACCAGAAATCCGGCTTTGGGGAAGATGTTGGCTCTCCCCCTGACATCTTTAGTGCAATTTGGCGATCTCTCTTCTTTGCCCATTTCCTCTTAAAGGCATGTGTCGCTTACAGCTTTCGGGTGCTGCCTTGAATACAACAGAGCTGTGATGGCAGTGACTTGGAGAACTCGTATCAACCTTTTAAAATTTTAGTGCCATCTCGGAAGCTAAGCAGGGTCGGGCCTGGTTAGTACTTGGATGGGAGACCACCTAGGAAGACCAGGTGCTGTAGGCATAAAAAATAAAAAATAAGGGATTGTAAGCTGACAGGGTCCTTGCAATCTGTGAGGTCAACCAAGGGTTGACTTGCCTAAAAAATTATTAAATAAAATAAGATAAAATTCTAGTGCCAGTTATCCATAGTCATGACATAAATAAAATAAATGAAATAAAATAAAATTCTAGTGCCAGTTATCCATAGTCATGACAAAGGAAACTCGATGAAAGACTGTGAACATACATGTAAGAAAAGACAGGAGCGATTCTAACTCAAAACCAAAAATAGGTCACATTACCAGCTTAACTACTATCAGTAGTTGCTTTTAGCTTTTAAAATGTAACTTGGCTCTTCTTAATAATGAGCGGAAGGACTAAGGCTCACAAAAAGTGTGAGAAAGAGGCTGGTATAATCTCCTAAGGCTCACTAATGGACAGGCACACTTAGGCAGCTCATGTAGCACTTGGCTTACTTATCTAATCACTGACCACGGCTGTTTTAAGTGGTTCCAGTGGTTCCGGGACCCAACTTGATAAAGTTTGGGTCTGCCCCACCTCTGGAGAAAGTAACATGAAAAAAACCTCTTTGATCTCTTTTAAGTAATTATTTTACTATATGATGGTTTCAAAATCCAATGTCTTCAAAATCCCAAATCCTTGACTTTACTGTTAATAGCCTCTCTGTGCCTTAGTTTCTTAAACTCTGAAACAGAGGGAATAATTAGAAGCCTGGGGGTTATGTGACTTCCTTAGAGTCACGTGGACTATGATACACACGCGCAGACGCACACAATGCGCAACACGAGCCCAGCTAATCTTTCAAAAGTTATCTCAATTATTTGATTATTATAAGGGAATATGAGTATTTCTTAAGAACATCTACCTGATTTAATAATTTATCCCATTCCCATCTCTCAAGTGTAGACATAGTTTGACAATGTGAATTTGAGACCCAAATTTCCACTTTTCTCTCACAGAAAACCCACTTACATCTTCTGCCTGATTCCTGGCATTCTCTATAGCCTGAACTTAATACTTATTGCTTTTCTAAGCCCAGAAGAGAATTACCCAGCCAGTGATATAAATGAGTAAGTCCCATTTGTCCCCAGGGCATCTTCCCTCCAGTAACTCTGGGACACCCATTTGGCTGGTCGTACTTGCCCAGACCTGGCCTCTGTTCCCTTTGTCCACCTCACAGGAGCCCCCCTTGGCCACGTGCACCCATATACCTTACACCAACATGGGCTTACTTCCCCAGGGTTCCCCTTACTTGATCCATACACAGTCTTGGGAGGTAGCCATTGCAGTTGCTATTACTCTTCATGGGGTGGAACCAGAGAAGCCCAGTAACTTTTCATGAGTTATACAGCAATTAGGGCCAGAGCTGAGGCCAGAATCCTGGACTCCTTATTCCTAAAATGGCAAAGCTTTCCTAACGTCAGTAGTTTCCAAACTCTTTTTTCAATCCAGCTTTCTTCCAACTATTTATTCAGTGATCCAGCTTTTTGCAGGCCTTTTAAATCCAATGAAATCCCACGCAGGACCAGTCAAACACTGAGGTTCACCTCGCTCCCCCTTCTGCTCACCACACTCCAGTCAGGGCAAGCTCTTCTCTGCTCCATGCTTGGTCCTATGTTGGGGCTTTTGAGCTTGCTGCCTGCCCTGATTCCTCAATCTATTGAAGCCACTATCATTTCACCTTCTTTAGAGCAGTTATCACCACCTGAAGTCATCTCATATGTGTATTCACTTTCCTGTCTCCGTCCACTGGCTTATCAACTCCACAAAGAAGGAACATTACCATCTCGTTCCCTGCTCTGTTCCCTCTACCTGACACAGCAGAAGGCAGTCAGTTAATTTTAGTTGAGTAAATGAATGATTGAAAGGAGGTCTCCTCCCACCATGTGCCTGAAGCACTTGTTCAAAGTTCAGAGAAATACAATTGGAAAATATCGCCCTATATTATGGATGATGATGAAAATTTACCAATTGCAGGATTGGGGGCAAGTTATCAGCCTCTTCACGTCTCAATGCATATCTCATAGCCCTGGTGTGAGATTCAATAAGTTAATACGTAGAAAGCACTTGGAACCGTGCCTGACGTGTAGCGAGTATTGTATATGCATCAGCTATTATTGTTATTAAGGGCTCCCTCTGTGGCAGACACCCTTCTATTCCTTTACATATATTAATTAACTCATCTAGTGAATAATTACAAGTGGGAGTCCTTACAATAGCTAATATTTATTGGGCACTGTGCTAAGGACTTCCATGCATTATCTCATCCATTCCTCCCAACAACACTATAATAAGATATGCTTTTCCTCACTTTATAAATGAGAACAATCAGACTGAGTAGTTAGGAAGATTCTGGCCAGGGCCCCACCACCAGTGAGATGTAGCACTAAGATCAAACCCAGGCCTGTCTGCAGAGGCTGTGCTTCTACTCGGCACGCTCTCCTCCCTCGTGCTTCCCAACCCTCCTTGGCTCTGAGCTGCATGATTTTGAGAGCAAGGAGCCCGGAGAGCCCTAAAGAGCTTTTCACACAAATGCCCAACTCTCCAGAGGAAAAGATCGAAGAGGCAGGGGTGACTTAATTACTTGGGTCTGGACTGTATTTTAAAGCTTACTTTTTAACAGGCTGGACCAAAGAAAAGTATGTTACTACACAAAAATGTTAAGGTGACATTTACAGTAATTTCTTTCTATTTGCCAAAATTCTATCGGTGTCTTCCCAGCTCATAATCTTGCTTTCCTTCAAAATTTCATATCTAATCCTATGGAGCCAATTTTTATTGGTAAAACAATTAACATAATAAAAGATGAAGAAAAAGAGAAATGGTTTATAGGGAGAAAAATTAAATAGAATCACAGTGTGCTGTGAGCAAGGCAGGGTTTTGAAATGTGGGGGGCAGGGCGGACATACAGGATTTTAGCCGAATGCTTGATTGCAGGAGCGAGAGTGACTTATTTTTCTCATATATGTTTATATATTCAAAAAGAAGAAAGCATGCAAGCAGTTAACCATTTATCAGGAATAAGGGCTTGGCATGGGGTCTGGGCAAGGATTTTGGAAAAGTTCAGGTTTAAAAATTTGAGCGTGAACCCTGCCAAGTGGACTTTAATAGGAGTTCATATAATAATTGGCCTGGGACTTTTAACCAAAAAAGTAGACGCTTTGAAGTGCTGGAAACAAAAAAGAAAAGCTCATGGCAGTTTTATTAGTTCATATGATCAGCAGCAGATGATAAACGACAAATAGGTCTCGGGCCTTCTGCAGCCCAGCAAAGTCCTGAGTTTTGCAAACAATCGAAAGTTCAACCCAGCAGCCTGAGCAATAAAAATTGCCAAGTCAGAGGCACTTCTGATGAGGTAGGGGTCTGAAACGGCTCCAACTCTCAGATCGCTGGGGCTGGAAGGGATCTGCAGATTCTTCTAAACCAGCTCATTTCAGACATGGGGAAACTGAGACCCAGACTTCCTGAGGGTACCGGGGACCTGCCGCTCGTCCATCCCATGTCCCACCCGCGCCACCTCCCATTCTTCTCCACTGCCCACCTTCCCTCTACAGGCCTGTCCTGTGTTGCGGGGACACAGGATGGAACTGCTAAGACCGCACATCCCCCGGGAACCCTGCGCGTTCCGGCTTTGCTGTGTCTCGTACGGAGTCTGATTCTCTAAACCTCTGAGGCAGGAACGCAATACCATTCCCGGGATATTTTCCCCTGAGCTAAGGAAGGGTTTCTTCATTCTGTATTTTTTTTTTTCCTGTGACCCCCCAAGAGGTGACAGAACATTGAGCTAAAAATGTCAGTAGTGCAAACTGAAGAGCTCACCCAGGAATCAAGGGAAGGGCAAAGAACCAGTCTCAGGTGACTTGTGCTGACTCCTTATCCAGATGGCAGCATCCAGTTGCCGTTAATGGCCTGTCAGCAAATACTAGTGAGGAGCCCCTGTGTACAGACTGTTCCCAGAGCACTTTGCGCATGCCTCCTTGATCCCATTTAAGATTGTTCTAGAATTGTTTGCTTGTTTCTGGGTCTCTCACCAGCCTAATGAACCCACTGCAGCACCTCCAGTGCCAGCCTATATTGGCCACCAAAAGAGGTGGCGCTGAGCTAGTCCGCAAGGACCTAGGGCTGGGTGGGGTAACATGAGGCCATCAAATTTTAAACAATAAAGGGCTTAACTATAAGATCAGGGATATAGTAGAAGAAGCTTCTGGAGAAGTTCATGATTAATTACCAATGTATTATCCACAGAGGAAGTTTTCAAAATGTTCAAGGAGCCCTAGGTTTGAACAGAGATGCCTCAGCGATGGTGGCATTGAGGCCAAAGGGTTCTGGACCAGCCATTTTCCAAGTGCACGTACAGGTGTGCACACATGCAAGTGCGCGCGCACACACACACGCACACGTCAGTACAGGGTCTTTTTGTTGTTGCTATTTTCCTCTTTAATTATCGGGTTTCATTCATTCCATAAATATTTATTGGGTGCCTGCCATATGCTAGGCACTCTTCTAGACACTGGGGACACAGCAGTGAAAAAAGACCAAAATTCCTGCCTCCTTGGAGCTTATATTCTTGCAGGAATCTTCCTTTCCAGCTTTCTGTTGGAGAGGGTTTCATTGCATAACTAAAGGGGACTTGTTGCAAAAAGTATCTGAAAGAGATCGTAGGAATTCTAGGACGATGCAAAGAATAAGGCCCAGGGAGTCACGAAAACCAAAAAGGCCTTTCGGAGGAAGTGGGTTTGACGGGCTCTGAAGAGGAGTAACTTTTGGACAGGCAGAGAGGACTGGGGGAGGGGGGACCTTGTGGGGAGCTTGTTTCGGTGCTGCTGAGAAAAGCTGCTTGCGGGGAGCAGTGGTCAAGAGGGGACAGTGCGATACGAGGCTGGGGTGGCAGGCGGGGGTCCTCTGTCCAGTGCAGTGAGCCCTTCCAGAAGGTTAGCGAATCTTTCAACTTAGCGAAGCACAAGAATCCAACATGTGCGGCTGGGAGAATCTTTAAGAGTCAAAGTAGAAAACTTTGTGAAAGAGGAAAATCCCTCTGGCAGCGTTCAGCTCCAGCCGTTACAGGTGGTACTTTGTGATCTCGGCCATGGGTCCTGTTTCTGCACTTAGGGTAGGAAGAATTACTGTTTTTGATCTCTGATCAATAAACCAGCTTGAAGACGGAGCGCGAAGGGACAGATGCATCCTTGGAGGGTGTCGCCTAGCGAACTGCAGCTCGAGTCCCCACAACTAAACATAACCCTTCTCCCTGCAGCCTGCCTTCAAAGGCCTCACCTTCACCGACCTGCCTCTGTGCCTACAACTGAACATCATGCAGAGGCTGAGTGATGGGCGCGACCTGGTCAGCCTGGGCCAGGTGGGCCCCAACCTGCATGTGCTCAGCGAGGACCGGCTGCTGTGGAAGAGGCTCTGCCAGTACCACTTCTCCGAGCGGCAGGTCGGTGGGGCCCAGCCAGCACTCCTTCCTCCTCTCCCTTCTCTGCCCCCGACCCTCAAGCTTCCCGGGCACCTCTCTCAAGCTCGAGGTGCAGGTGCCCACCTTCTAGACCTTCTTGGTTTGACTGGAAAACAGTAGTCTAAGGAGTTTCTAAATAATGTGTGTGAGGGTTTTTTAAGGTGGTTTTGATGAGGGAAAGAAACACTCCTATTCTTAACCTGGTCACATTTTACAATATTCTCAAAAAAAAAAGAAAATCACAAATTGGCACCGGTCCTTCTTTTCTATAACAAAGTAACATACTTTTATGATATTTTATAGCTAAAGTACTTTTACAGGTATTATTTCTTCTTATTTTAATGACCCGGGAAAGCGTAGATATCGTGATGCCCACTTCAAAGAGATGAACAGACAGAGGCCACAAACGGCTGCGTGACACATGCAAATTAGCGAAGTGGCTCTGTAGGTGCGGAAACGCCCTCTGACACCAGCTCTGGGCCTCTCTCCCCTCCGCACATGGCCTCCGATTTTTTTCCCCAGCTTCTTTACACAGAACTGTGAGTTCAAGTTCTGTTCGTGAAGCCTCTAATATTTAAATAGAAAACAGTCACTGTGCCACACAGCTCCTTGGAAGTGATCACTCGAGCCTGTAGCAAAGAAGAGGCCGAAGGTGTTTACCAGGTCACCTAAACTGTAAGGGACCATCCGAATGCAGTTTAGTGGAGGTCACTAGAAAGATATCACTAACCACCTGTTTCTTTTACAGACTGGTTAAAAGCTACTTTTTTAACTGGGTAGAGCTCAGAAGACTTCTTTCTATCTTGGCTCTTTCCCCTAGCTATCGCAGGGTAGAGATGGAAGAGGGGCCTACAGGGTGGGAGCAGAACTTTTCAAAACTGGAAAACCACAAACCCTTTTCCTGATGAACTCTGCTGCAATGACTTTTATTTGATATTTAGATCCGCAAGCGATTAATTCTGTCAGACAAAGGACAGTTGGATTGGAAGAAGATGTATTTTAAACTTGTGCGATGTTACCCGCGGAAGGAGCAGTATGGAGATACCCTCCAGCTCTGCAAACACTGTCACATTCTTTCCTGGAAGGTATGTGTCTCGGAGGTGACTGCCACAGACCCCTAGCCCAGCAACTAAGAGCCAGTGGTGCCAGCATTACAATGCCAAATCGTCCCCTGCTCTTCACTATTGCAGCCTCCAGCTGAAGGTGAAGGTCATACCAATTCTGTCCCTGGGAAGAGAAACTTTCAAAGAACTTAATTTCCTTCACCCCTCTCCATGTTTATTTTTTCCTGCAACCCACCCACCCCCAAATTCTCCCCTCTCTTTGTGCACAGGTGCACACACATACACGCACACGGCATCCTTGACAGAGGAATGTGGTTTTGAGGTTGGGGAATGCCTTGTGGCGCTCCAGGCCAGCAAGATGCTTCTGAGGACTCAGACCTAACCGTCGTGTTCCTTTGCAGGGCACTGACCACCCGTGCACAGCCAATAACCCGCAGAGCTGCTCCGTTTCACTTTCACCCCAGGACTTTATCAACTTGTTCAAGTTCTGAATCCCAGCCCGTGACAGCACTTCAGAGAGGGTCCCCTGCTGATTGGATGGTTGGGAAGACAGAGTTGGACACTTCGTTTGTAAATAGTGTACATATGAAACATTGGCTCCAAGCTTCTGAGATAGGTCATGGAGAGGACATTGGAGGGGAAAGATGCAGTCGCTGGCTGGGAATTTAAGAATACGGACTTCTCATTAGAATCGGTATGAAAAAGCAGAAATACTGTAAATAAACGTTTCTTCTCAATGATTTGCCAGCAAGACGGCAAGGGCAGGAGTTCTGTTTCATTGGTGAAAATGGAATTCTCGATGATCACTGACACTCCTGTATAGTTCCCCAGAGATGTGGAAAAGGAGGACAAAACCCGAATACGAGACAGAACACGCTTTGTTTACAATGTGAAAACGCGTTTAAAAAAGAAGGAGAAGAAGAAGCAGAGGAACTACAGATGAAAATTCCCTGGGCTTTTGGTTTTGATTTGGGGTTTGCTTTGAAAAGGCAGAGAAGCACCACGCATCTTAAACCTGCATGGACGTAGGGCCTTATCTTACGAAGATATCACAATAGTCTACCTCGGAAAGCATACAGTGATCTCTCTGACAAAGCGCATTGTCCAATAGGCAGTGTCTGTTTTTCTTGTTTTTCATCATATACAAAAGTGATTTAAAATGGGAAGTGAACTTGGAAGCAGACCTCACCCTGTTCCTTGTTAGGGAACGGGGCACTCCTTGGTGTTGCTTCCTTTCGAGAACCACAGAACGTGTAAGGCCTTTGTTCCTCTCATGTCACACCTCACGGGGGACAACATTAGGCCAATTACAGACTGTCCCAGAGGAAGTCCTGCCACAGAAAAGATAGAATTAGCTGCCCATAGCTGTGAAGACTTTCTTATTCCTGTTTAATTTCTTGGCTTGTCTGCTTCCTGGGGTATCTTCACGGATAAGCATGAGCATATCTCTGTGGACTGGTCGGAGCCAGAATGCTGATAAAGGCTTGTAAAGCAGGTTTGACATATCAGTGAAACCTTTTACCGGCTACCATTCGTTCCTCTTGACGGGTGATGAGCCGAGGAGCTTGCTTTATGTCCCACATGAAAATTTAGTCAACCTGAGCTAAGGCTTCAAGCAAGGATGGTCAAATAAAGCCTGGACTTCCAATCCAATAGGGAACTGAGGCGCTGAGTCCATCTAAACCTGCTTCATACCCCAGGGGATCTTGTTAGACAAATATCAGCAGATACCTATGTGGAAGAGGAAATCTCAGGATTTAATCAGTTTGTTGTCAGATAGTCCTGGGAGGGAGTAGGGAGTGTTTTTGTTTTTTACTTTTTATAGAACTTTGCTTTTCTACAACAATGTACATATTTTTGCCATTGTATTTGCTTTGTCTTCTTTTTCTTTTTGTAAATAAAATTGCATGTCCTTGGCAAGTAAGTGAAGCAGAAATAGGAACTTGGTTCACATCGGTTCACATTAACGTTGCAGAACAGTGAATCCTTAGGGGTTGAGCTTGGGGTGACCTGCAGAGGGCAAAGTTGGTTAAACGTGTGTAGAAACAAGCCTGGGGACCCGCTAGTGACACCCTTCCCTCAACATACCCCCAAGTACCAGCATTTGGAAGAGAACCAACTGCCGATGAGTGCGCCTCACTTTGCAGTGCTGGTGCCTACACCGGAGTTGCTCAATATTTTTTTCATTATCACCCTCCAAGAAGGAAAAGAACTGAATTTAAATTCTCCCGAATGAGAAAAATTAAATATGAAACAATAAAATCTCATCAGGCAAATTGGAGCTTCAGAGGCCCACAAGCTATTGTAATACCGAGCGGTGCTTTTCGCTCTCCCCTCCCCAGAGTCCAAGTCACACTGAAAATGAAAAAGCTAGTTCTTCCATAATTTGGACATGTTCTCTCAAATGCCTCAGCTTCCTCTAAGATGTGGGTGGAGCTGGGTCTGTTGTTGCTGTGAGAGCTCTGGAACCTTGGACTCTGATCATTTCCAGTTTATTCAAGGCCTTCCACATCTTCCCTTCGTGCTGATCGAGGAGGTGAAAGCTCCCAGGCGCCTTCGGGTTTGCAGTCCCAGAAGAGTTGTCACTTTGGGCTGTCAGCACGAGGCTGGCCGGCCCGTCTCATCTGGACTGTCAGCACAAAGCTCTGACTGTACATCTGTCCCCAAGCAGCAAGGTACATCTGTGCAGCACGAGCCCTCCAGAAGTGACGGGACTATGGTTTTCGGAAATGTTTACCTAGATGGTGCCTCTGGGCTCTCCCATCTCCTTTGGCGTTATGGAGGTGGTGTGTGACAGAGCCGAGGGAAATTTTTAAGGAAAAAAAAAGAAACGAACGTGTGGTTCTCTCGTTGGAAAAGGAGAATAAGGAAGGAAATGGCAGGTGGAGAGGGAGAGGGAAAGGAATACAAGTGCATTTCTTCGATGCTGTGGTTTGTGTGAGGGCCATGGGGACAAGAATAGCAGGCATCGAGCATCTGTGTCGGTGCCACGTGGTAGCTGTGAAGCATGGCCAGAGCCTCGCGTATGAGTAAAGTGAGGTGGAAAGAAAATTCTTGTTCCCTGGGCACTAATCATCTATTGAATTTCTATTGGTAAACCCTCCCAGAATAACCTGACCCAGAAAAACAAGAATCCCAAGAATCCCTGAGAACTGCTGCTCTAAAAGGCAGCAGGGACGTGACCAAGGAAATTGCTAGAAGAAACAGAATGCTCTATTCTCTTCACTGTACTTAACCTACCTGTCCCCCAAGCCTGTGACGTAGAATTTGAAGTCGATATCAAACATGAAGTAATTTCGACTTCTAGACAACGAAAGAGTTTTTGTCCAGGGCAGGGTGAGGCAGTAATGTTATAATTTCGTCCAACTCAAAGGTTTCTGAGCAATGAGCCTAGAGTTTCTTGGGAATAAAGCACAGCATTTGAGGAGAAGGAATATGTGAAGCTTAGGAATGCTCACTTGATAGCAAGACCCAGAAAAAGTCCAATGACATGTTAAACTAGATAGGTAGCATTATTACTCAATGCTGTTACTTTGAGCAGATGGGACAATCCCATAGGAGGGCAAGTGGCAGAAATTACAAGGTAAAAACATCCCCAGGGTGTCAGTTGTGTTATGACAGTTCTTTAGTGATGATCAATTTTACAATGAAGGGGCTTGGAGGAGATATTTTAGATGAGCTGGGTTTACACTGCAAAACTCAACACGAGCGGGTTTTACCTGGTGATGGTGAAGTCAGCCAAGTGTGTATTGCGTTAGTTCTCATCTTTATGGATTCAGAAACTATTTTTCACGATGACTTTGCTATTAACAGACGCTCCTTGTTCCTCTTGTTTTTATGTGGGAGAAGAGAGTTTGGAATTTCATTTGTCTAAGCAAGAGGTGTGATTCACAAGAAGGTCAGTCATTTCAAGACATGTTTGACAGTTTATCATCCTTAGTGTTCAATACAATGTTTATCATAACATATGCACCTGAGTTTATATTTTTATGCCAGGTTGTAGGGCAATAATGTCTTGCTATGCAAACATTCAATTTTATGTGTGAATTTTTTTAACTATAATTTTATGTGTGAATTTTTTCTAACTAAACTTTATCATCAGTTTCTATGTTGACATCTGTTTTTTTTTTGTTGTTTTTTTTTTTTAATCTGTTTCCAACTATCTGAGTCTGTGAACCATCCCTTCTGACTGGATACTGGCCTAAAATCCTATTAGTGTTTAAACAGACCTCAGAAACACCCTGAACCTCTAGGCAAATGCAGACATGTGACTCTTTGATATATCTTGGGCCCTTGATGTCTTCAACAAACAAGGTCGTAATTCCTTTAAACTCAGCATTTTCTGTAGATACTTTCTTCTCTGTTTTGTTAAGGAAAAGTAAACCCTCTGTGGTTTTCCAAGGGAAGGAAACTCTTACCCGACTTCAGCGCTGGAAGGGAGGTTAGGATGGTGACGTCTGGCACTCCCTCTGCCTTTCAAGGTGAAGTAGTGGGTCTAGAATATTCAGGGGATATGCCTCAGCCCCCCGGTACTCTGTGATGGACTTGAGCATAAACCTGAGACTTTCCGAGGCCTTGACTTTGTGTCTCCTTCCCTAGCACTTTTTGGTGTGGCCGGAGACATGTGACACCCGACCTGATTCTTCTCAAGACCTTCACCGTGAAAGGCAAACGCTAAGGTCCAGTGTTAGGCATCTGGCCGTTAACTTTTCCAAACATTTTAAGTCCCTGGTTCTTCCTGGAGAAGTTAAGGAGCCACCTAATGTTTTTACAGACTTCTGACTGACTCTGTTGTGAGCACAGCATTCTAGTGAGTGCAGCTTGCTTACCATAAAGTAAGCAGCATGTTTTGACAAATTCGCTTTCCCCTGGGAACCTACATTTTAATGATAAAGGTGGCCCTTAAGTCAGATAATGGCTGAGCAGTAGGCTTACTTTCTAGAAACTGAGGTTCTGATGATTACCAAGCAGGCATTTCCTCTCCCCCTAGGCTAAGAGGTACATTTCATCTATCCCCTCCACCTCCATTTCCCCCAGTACCTGCTCTGGATCTCCATCCCATAAGCTTCCATCCCAGTGCAAGCTCACTCTCCACTAAACCTTATCTTTACTAAACAAAGGCGATTGATTATTCCATGAGGCAGCAAGGAGCAAGGGACCACAATACTCATGACTTTGTCTGCTGACATTTTTCAAAGTGCCCTTGAACTCATTCAGCAAACAAAGCTTCCTGAAAAATCTCTTAAAACTTAGGCCCTGCTCCATTTGGCCAAAAATGGATGGCTGCTCCAAAACGCTGAACTTCTTGAAACTCCATCTGCTACAACATTATTTCTGGATTTTAAACATGACTTTTTCTGTCTCTGAGTATAGAAATGTTTGTTTAATTAATGATACACGAGTCTGTTAAACAGAAGGCTCCAAGCGGTCGGTACTCTATACTTGAGAACTCTTGGCGCCATCTTTATTCCACCAAGTGCCAATCATCCTGGCTAAAGAGGATGTATATTAAAGTCCATGTCCTAGGCTTAGAGGCTTTACTTTTTTAATGAAAAATACTATAGAGGGTTGAACATTGTAACCAAAAGTATAAGGTTAGACCAATTACATACAAAGGTGTTTATTTAATATTGTGTGAGCTGAGTCCTTCTGTATAAATTATTTGCACACTCTTCTTGCATGATAAACTGATTTTTTTTTATAGTTGTTTGTACCAGACGGTGGCATATTTTTGTAAAAATTTTTTGACACTGAATTGCAATAAATGTTTTTCCAAAAACATACACTGGTGCATTTTTAGTGTGTGTCAATTCCAGTTGGCTTTTTATCATGCTGAGTATGTTTATCTTTTGCCTAGTGAGGCTTATATTTCTTTTCCCAGAAACTTATCAGTGTTGTAAAATTTCTAGGAATACACAGAAAAAGAAGCTTGCTGCCGAGTACCAACCCGCATCAGTAATACAGCATTATGCTTAAATGGGATATTTCCACTTACTGTTTGTATAGTATAATGATTAGGGAATAATGAAGTCAATATCGATTTACTCAGCGACAGACACTTATTGAATAACCGCTATATGCTAGTCTATGTGCAGGCACGAGGAACGGAATGGTCGACAGGACAGATAAAGTCCCTGCCTTAACGGAATTTAGACTCTAGTGGGAAAGACCAAAAAAGGTAGGAAAATAATTTAATTTGTAACCCGTGCTATGAAGAGGCTAAACGCGGGGGACCTGCTTCGTGGGGGACCACTCCGAGAAAGCTGTGTTGAAGACGGGACCCAAACGGTGAGGAGGAGCCAGCCTCAGAAGGATGAGGGCACGAGGAGAGGAGGAGGTGGCTTGTGCAAGGTTCAGGTCATGGTCCTGCCACTTACCTGCAGTGTGACCTTTGTCACCTTACGAAACCCCTCTCTGTCTCAATTTCCTCGACTCCAAAACGGCGATACTCTATTTCTTCTGGTTGTGAGAGTTAAGTGAACTAATATGTATAAAGTGCTTAGAGCCGAGCACGTACTATAAGTTCAGTAAACATAGGCAATTCTGATTTCCTGAGCAACGAGAATCTGAAAATCGGGTCTGAAAATCGGGTCAGGAATCGCACTGTGTGTGTGTGTGAGTTGGGTGTGATTTGCTCAGGTGACTTACTTGCGGGTGACTGATTTACTAGGTTCATTCACTCTGGAACATACCCTGATCCGGCCACTAACTCCCCATTAGAAAATGACATAAAAGGTGCATGAGAGTAACTAGAAATGTTTGTTTTTTTCATTTCCACCAGGATCACAAAATCTTACCACTGCTTAAATATCTCATACATTCTTTGTTCAGGCTGTTCCACCTACCTAGAATGCTGTTCCCCTGTCCCTCTGTCTGGTGAGCATCTCTTGCTCCTGAGGGCTACCTCCTTGCTGAAGCCTCTTCCAATGAGTAGGCTCCCACAATGCTTTTTGCTTATGGACTTTGTTACATTGTAGTCTGATTTCTGGCTGTATCATAGTACCTAGCACAATGCCCGGGCTGAATAAACCCACCATAAAATGCTCTTGAAAGTCTCCTTTAGGACCACATATTTACCCTCCACTAGAATAAAAATCAGCATGAGTTTATGGGCACGAATAGCATTATAGCTTCTTGGTTAAAAAATAAATGGTGGTTGATAGAGTAACAAAGGTAGAGACCCAGTTTTCATTAAAGTTTCTTTTAAGTTCGACTAAATCTTTACAAGTCTAGTAAATTTTCATACAAAGTAAGAGGGCCTTCTTTACTGTTTGATTGAACTCAAATTGAACAGACTAAAGTCCCTTTAAAAAATAAGTCCCTTTAACAAACTTAATAAAAATTCCTGTAAACATTTTAAAGCTGCAATTAGAAGTCTAATGAATTTGCTGTTTTATAAGCACTGCACATACCTGCTCGGATAAGCTTCGACCCTAATAAGCAAAACATTCTCAAGTAATAACTTACAGATTTAATAAATTAAGCATAAATATATCTTCGACTCTCTAAAAAAGACTGACATTACTAAAATTAGTAAAATTATTACAGATTTAATAAAGCATAAATGTATCTTCAACTCTCTAAAAAAGACTCTAACATTACTAAAATTAGTAAAATTATTATACCTTTCCATCTAAAGTCATACCTTACACTGATTTCTTATTTTAAATGGAAATCATAAGGCTACTGAAGTGGGCAGAATAAAGGCCCCCAGAGGCATCCACATCCTAATCCACAGAACCTGTGAATACGGTGCATTAAGTGGCAAAGGGGAAACTGCAGGTGTGATTAAGGTAATTGATGGTGAGATTACTCTGGGCTCTCTGGGTGGGCCCAGTGTGACCACGGAGTCCCTGAAAGTGGAAGAGCGAGGCAGGTGAGGTCAGACTGATGTGACACAAAGAGGACTCGTCCTGCCATCGCTGGCTTTGAAGATGGAGAAAGGGTGCCTCGAGCCAAAAAATAAAAGTGACGTCTAAAATCTGGAAAAGGCAAGGAAATGATTCTCCCTGAGCCTACAGAAAGGAACGCAGCCCTGCCAACACCTTGACCTTAGCCCAGTGAGACCCATGTCAGACTTCTGAACTTCCTACAGATAATGTGTTGTTTTACATTATCACTAAATTTGTGGTAATTCGCTACAGCAGAAACAATTAATCTGACAGATTCTCTAACATGCCCAGCAGCCCATCCCTACAAAGCTCTTCCCTATCGGTTCTGCCCCTTCAGACAAATTCCCACTGACCCTTCTGCTGCTTGTCCCCACCCCAAGCTGAGCGAAGATCTGTCCGCGAATGAAAGGCACAACTGTCTTTATAGCCTCATTCAGCGGCGAGAGTTATTCTGACCGCCCAGATATGTGCACTGCAAAAACTAGGTGAAGTTGTCGCCTTCCCGTTTTACGTGAGGCTGACGTCAATCACAGTTATGCCCACGAGACATCACAGAGAATCAGCATTTCAAATTCTCTCCAATAAGCAATGTTTATGGAGCAGCAGTGCCCTGGGCACTGGAACAGCCATTCAGAAGTGTGAGCTTGGCGCTTGTCCCAAGGAAACTTACCAACCCGGTGGGGGGCCGAGAGGGACCAGAGCATGTATGTCAACTATGACACAAGATCCAAAGTTCCAAGGGCCCTAGGGAGGTACTAGAGGAAATCAGAGAAAGACAGAGTTCGTGCTTCTGAAAAGGAGAAGGATGTAGGTAATACGCCAGCCCCCAACACCTTCTTCCTGAACTAGTGGGAACAGGGCCTCCTCCTTTGGGGTCCAGGAGCCAGAGGCTGTGGCTTAAGCACCAGAGATCAAGACTTACCACATGGTGATAAGTCAAATGGTGGTATTGATAGGGTTTAAAAAAAAAAAAAAAAAACAAACCACTGAATTTTGAGTAAATTTCCTTTTTGGAGGAAACTGAAGCTCTCTGTGTCCCCGGGGACTCCAATGCCCGAGTCCACCAGTGTCCTAGAAAACTAACAGAAACCCAAATGAACCCCAGGTCCCTCCAAGGAGCCCTGTCACGGTTATTTTATGTGTCAGCTTGCCAAGACCACAGTACCCAACTACTTGGTCAAACACCAGTCTAGATGTCGCTGTGAAGGTATTTTTTAGATGTGA